GGCCGGCTGCCAGCGCCCGCCCTTCTGTCACGTGAGCCTGACCTCTGGCATCGCCACCACCACCACCACCTCGCTGAGCAGCGCCAGCCCCGCGCGGCGCCCTGGCCAGGAGGAGTGCCGCCCCCCTTCTGCCACATGAGGAACACGCCTCTGTCGTCACACTCAGCCGCTGCGGCCACAGGGCGAGGTCGGCGTCGGCCGCCCCGACGCACAGGAAACATGTCCACGCGCATTCATCGTTGCTGGCCCTCGCGTCCTCGCCGCCGCCACTGCCGTCCGTCCCAGCTCCTCCCACCGCGTCGCTGCTGCCACCACTGCCGCTCCCGCCAATGTCGTTCCTCCCGCCCCTAGCTCCTTCACCTCCTTCTCCACCTCCACTGCCTTCCCTCTCCCCTCCCAAAAGATCGCTGCCACTGCCGCCCCTCCATGTCTCTCTGACCGCGGCGTTGTTGCCGCCCGTCGTCGTGACGTTGGTCGTGATCGTCATGTGTTGCAGCCGTCGGTGGGGATTGTCACGCTGTGGCAAATGGTCGTCGCCGTGGTTGTCGTCGTCGTCTTGCGCACGGTCTGTGGGGGGAGTTTGTCGCTGTGTACCTGGCGTAGTGGGCGGGGGTTGTCGTGATCGTCGCGCTGGTGCTCAAGCCCGTCGTCGTCTCCTGATGCGGCTGCTGCTGGTCGTCGCGTTGGGGCTGCGCCGTGGCGCGAAGCGACGGTCGTCGTCGTCCTGCGGGTCGTCCAACGCGTCGTGGCCCACCCCCACTGGGAGCCCGACAGGGGGCACACCGAAAGGAGCACCACGGCGCTCATCCATCGCGACGCGGACAGTCTTGATCACCCCCAGCATTGACCACCCGCAGCGCCGCGCGGACCTGGTCAATCTGTTCGAAAGTGCCGCATGCCGCAGCCGCGTCGTTCGCGCCCCGATCTGGCAGCTCGACGGGGCAGCCCGCCTCGCGCCGGACGGAGGAGAGCAAAGCAGCACCGCGGGCAAGAAGTTGACCTCGACATCGTTGAGGGCACGTCACGCTGCCCCAGTAGCACGGTCCCCGTCCGCGCCTGGAGACAGCACACTCTGCGCACTGGATCTGCACGCCGAGCCAGTCCGGCGCGCAACGGCCTGGGGATCCGCCCCAGCGGAGTCGTAGGAACCGCTGATCTGCGAGTTGGGCGACAGCATCAGCTGCTGGTCGATCGGAACGGCACCGGTTGCAGAATACCAGGCCGCGCCACGAGCGCCGTCGGCGGGCGACCACAACCCAGCGCACCAGATGTGTCAACGCCGTCTCTCGTTCCCTGCCTGGTGTCGTCGGCGGTGGAGCGGTCTGGGCCGTCATAGCTGCAGCATCGGCCATTGCCTCGGCCAGTCCCAGGCCAAGATCCGCGATACTCGTATACTGCCAGGTCGGTCTGCTTGGCTCGTCGGAGGACCGAAGGTAGGCCCATGTTGGCGACGGTGTCGCGGTGGAACGCCAGCCCCCACTCTATGGTGGCTTCGATCGCCAAGGAAGCGCCTTGTGGCACGCAGCGACGGGCGTGAAGTTGGCAATTCGTCACCACGGCAAGGTCTATGCCGCGTGGCCCCCATCGAAGCCGGAAGGCGTCGGCCCACCCCTGGAGTAGCTGGTCGGCAGGCACGTCGGTTCGGAGGAGGCCGCGGGTGCACAACACCACCTTGGTCAAGTGTTGGGAAGCTCGATTGACTGCGCGGACCAATTCTTCGAACATGGCAAGACCAGTGACTGTGGAGTGGTCCTTCCCGTCCAACGCTGCAAGCAAGGAGTCTGAGTCGAGGTGCTCGCATGCCGAGTGCACGTCGGATGCTCTGCGTAAGTAGCTGAGGTAGGGGTCGTGCACCTCCAGCGTCATGCACTGCGTGCTCCGCGCCCACGGGGCAAACAAGGTGTCGATGTCAACGCCGACGCTGCCAGCAGGGATGCAGCGGCGCTCCAGGAGCCTCGGGAGGTTCGGTGCCTCCGAGTCTCGCGGCTCGGCCGGGTCGTGCCAAAACCTGCGCGCGCCTGCTGCAAGGAACGGGCACGTTGAACCGTGTCGACAGGCCACCCTGCGAGAGCGATCCTGCAGGTTACCAGGGGCTCGTCGACCTGGTGTTGGTGCTGGGTGCTGGCGTTGGTGCTGGTCGAGCTGGTGTTGGTCGTGGTGCTGGTCTGAGTGCTGGTCGTGGTGCTAGTCGTTGCGTTGGTCGTTGCGCTGGTCGTTGTGGTGGTCGGAGTGCTGTTTGTCGTGCTGGTCGTTGTGCTGGTCGGCGTGCTGGCCGTTGTGCTGGTCGCGGTGCTGGTCGTGGTGCTGGTCGGGGTGCTGGTCAAGGTGCTGGTTGTTGTGCTGGTCGTTGTGCTGGTCGCGGTGCTGGCCGTGGTGCTGGTCGGAGTACTGGCCGTTGTGCTGGTCGTTGTGCTGGTCGTTGTGCTGGTCGGAAGGTGGGTCGTGGTGCTCGTCGTGTCGCTGGTCGTTGTGCTGGTCGTTGCGCTGGTAGTGGCGCTGGTCGTTGTGCTGGCCGTTGTGTTGGTCGGAGTGCTGGCCGTTGTGCTGGTTGCTGTGCTGGTCGTTGTGCTGGTCGTTGTGCTGGTCGCAGTGCTGGTCGTGGTGCTGGTCGTTGTGCTTGTCGTCGCGCTGGTCGTTGTGCTGGTCGTCGTGCTGGTGGGGGTGACGAAGGCTCGCGCGTCTCCGCCACGCCGTCTGTACCCGCAACACCGCAGCCGCACGGCGCCCAGTAAAGTCCCCGGCCGCTTCAGCGAAAGGCGCGGCAATGTGTCGGGGCTCGTCTGGCGAGGCGCATCGATCCAGGCGGCGCGCGTCTCGCTGTGCGGCTCGCAGCGCCGGCGCGGAGAGGGCCGCGAACTCCTCGTCTGACATGTCGGCAAGCCCGCGGCAACTGCCTACGGCGGCGCGTAGGAGCGGCTCCCGGGCTGCAGTGCTGAACCATCCAGCGCGCCGAAGCGCCACGGGGCCGTGGTGATCGCTGACGCCTGTGTGGTGGCATGCTGCCGTATGCAAGCGGTGGCCCGCCAGGACAGCACGCTCGCGGGCCGTAGTCCCACCGGGAGCCGCCATCAGTGTTCGGCATTGCTCCTCAGCCCGCAACCGCCTCGTGGACTCAATCTGCAGACGCCCGCGCAAAGCCTCGACGTGCATGCGTCGCTGCCAACGTCGAAGGCGCGTGCGCGAGATGACGCAGCAGGGCTGGTCGGAGTGCTGGTCGTGGTGCTGGTCGCGGTGCTGGTCGGACTGCTGGTCGCTGCGGTGGTGGTTTTGCTGGTCGGTGTGCTGGTCGTGGTGTTGGTCGTTGCGCTGGTCGTTGTGCTGGTCGTGGTGCTGGTCGTGGTGCTGGTTGTTGTGCTGGTCGTTGTGCTGGTCGCGGTGCTGGTCGTGGTGCTGGTCGTTGTGCTGGTCGTGGTCCTGGTCGTTGTGCTGGTCGTGGTGCTGGTCGTTGCGCTGGTCGTTGTGCTCGTCGGAGTGCTGGTCGTTGTGCTGGTCGTTGAGCTGGCCGTGGTGCTGGAAAGGGTGCTGGTCGTGGTCCTGGCCGTTGCTCTGGTCGCAGTGCTGGTCGCTGCGCTGGTCGCGGTGCTGGTCGGAGTGCTGGTCGTTGTGCTGGTCAGGGTGCTGGTCGGGGTGTTGGTCGTTGTGCTGGTCGGAGTGCTGGTCGTTGTGCTGGTCGGAGCGCGGGTAGTGGTGCTGGTCGTTGTGCTGGTCGTTGGGCTGGTCGTGGTGCTGGTTGTGGGGTTGGTCGTTGTGCTGGTCGTTGTGCTGGTCGGAGCGCGGGTAGTGGTGCTGGTCGTTGTGGTGCTGGTCGGAGTGCTGGTCGTGCTGCTGGTCGTTGCGCTGGTCGTTGCGCTTGTCGTTGCGCTGGTCGGAGTGCAGGTCGTTGAGCTGGTCGTTGGGCTGGTCGTGGTGCTGGTCGTGGTGCTGGTCGTTGTGCTGGTCGTTGTGCTGGTCGTGGTGCTGGCCGGGGTAACGATTGTTGTGCTGGTCGTTGTGCTGGTCGGGGTGTTGGTCGTGGTGCCGGTCGTTGCGCTGGGCGTGGTCCTGGTGGTTTCGCTGGTCGTTGTGCTGGTCGGAGTGCTGGTCGTTGTGCTGGTCGGGGCGCTGGCCGTTGCGCTGGTCGTTGTGCTTGTCGGAGTGGTCGGCGTGCTTGTCGTTGTCGGTGTGCTGGTCGTGGCGCTGGTCGTTGTGCTGGTCGTGGTGCTCGTCAGGATGCTGGCCGTGGTGTTGGTCGTTGCGCTGGTCGGAGTGTTGGGCGCGGTGCTGGTCTTTGTGCTGGTCGGAGTGCTGGTCGTCCTGGTCGTTGGGCTGGTCGGGGTGCTGGCCGTTGCGCTGGTCGTCGTGCTGGTCGTTGTGCTGGTCATAGTGCTGGCCGTCGTGCTGGTCGGAGTGTTGGTCGCGGTGGTGGCGTCGCAGTTTTGAGTAGCACTGCTCATGGTGTTGGCCCCAGGAACCGCTGCCGCCACTGCCGTCGCTGCCACGCCGCCCTCTAGCCACCGCGCTGCCACTGCCGTCCTCCCCATCGTTGCAAAGACCGTCCCCCAGTGCTCCTTCCACCACGCTGCCACTGCCGCCCTCAACCGTTTCGCCACCGCCCCCACTGCCGTCCCTCCCCGCTCCTCCTGTTCTTTCTACCGTGCTGCCACTGCCGTCTGTCCACGATCCCACTGCCCACGCGTCTCGCACCTGCTCATCGTACCTAGGTCGACCACCTCCACCCCCATATTCTTGAGCAGCGATGCTTCTGCGGAAAAGCTGGGGTCGCCCAAAGCCCGTTGCTACTGTTCGCTCTTCCCGCACGGGGTGATCGCGGATCTGTAGCGGATGGCGCAGGGTTTCGGCGTCGCCACCCTCATCTTCCCGTGAGGCGCTGGAGCTCCACGCAATGAAGCTGTTGATGAATGCAGTGTCGTGCCTCGAAGGGTCTCTGATGTTGTTGCCGAAGGCCATGCAATACGCGATCCACCGCTGTCTGGCGATCGGGTCGCTCCGTTGCATGTGCTTCACACGGTCCACCACAGCCCTCCTTGGCCTGCGAGGGGAGGGGTCAGCGCCGTTGGCCGCCGTCGTCGCGCCGGCAGCCGGTGGCACCGCCGCAGCCATCCGTCCGGCGCCCCGCAGCCCCCAGGCTGCGCCCACGGGCGGCGGCAATGGCTTGAGCCAGAGGGCTACGGACCGGTGGGGATACGCGAAGCGTGAAGAATTCGCGTTCTGGCACGATTCAGGATCGTCAAAGACGTAACAGTCAAATGGATCCGTCGCGTTGGAATCCCGAGAACAATTTGTCTTCAAACGGATACCTTCCAACGAGGCAGTTCCCTCAGTGGAAATGAACCCTTGTAGGGGCATATGGAGAGGGAGCTTGGAGGGAAGTTTTATTCCCAACACCATAGATGATTCTTGGGTTTACACTGGTCGTCGTCGCCGTCCTCCTCCTCCTCCTCATTCGCTCTCGTCTCCTCCTCAGGCCAATCCTCATCCATGTGTACATCCTACTCTCTCTACCCTCCTCCCTCCTCCATCCCCCCTATCTCTTATTCCTCCCCTCCCTCGTGTCCTTCCCCATATGGTTTATCCCCCCCCCCTCCCTATACGCCGTAATCGTGTTTTTTTCTCCTCCTCCTCCTCCTCCTCCTCCTCCTCCTCCTCCTCCTCCTCCTCCTCCTCCCTCCCTGAAGATAATTCACACTCAATTCCAATCTCCATTATTACAATCGCCAGCGCGCTTCGGTTCTATTCGTTGCGCCCCACTGGGGCGGTCAAATCTATCCCCACCAGGCGCTCGCATCCACATGCGGGACGCCCTCACCCGCACGCGCCTCTGGTTACAGTTCGGTGAGACCCCCATGAGGGGACAAATCTTCCCCCCTGGCGCACCCACTCACGTTTGCCTCACATCACCAGGCACGCAGACTCTTTCAATACATCTGTCTCCTGATTGCACAGTGTAATCCGCCATTCTCCTCCCTCCATGCCTCCCTCCCGCATCACTACTCGACCATACCTATCCTACCTCAACGCCTCCTGCCTCGTACTCCCTGTCCTGGACCTGCACGCACCAAGAACAACGGAGGTGGGCGAGGGGTCGCGGTGCGGGCGAAAAGGAACTGTTGGACTACGCACCGTTCCGAAGAAGTGAGTAGAGCATGAAGTAGGAAGGCGTTGAAAACACAATGAGTTCCTGCCTGCCCCTGAAAAGGAAGGAACATGGAAAACCGGTCGGAACTTGAAATAGGAAGGCACGTAAAGTAGGTTGGAATCTGGACTCCACATATACATAACATTGAAGAAGGATGGGTAACCGAATGTTCAGGCATATTGTTACACTCGAAGTAGGACAAAGAGTGTGTCCACGATTGGTGGATCATCAAAACTTGGCGGAATAAATATGGGCTACGCTGCTTCAACCTGGTCAGTGTCCATATGCGTGTTCTGGTGCCTTTGGGCCTTGACTGGAACAAGAGCAACTTGCAACCCCCCTGTTCGAGGTCACCTTATGATCATTGTCCCTGTCCATGAATGAAAACAACGCGTCTCCGTCGGAAGGGTCGAGGTCCATCGAGCTCAACCAGATTCTGACCTCCGCGTGGTCCAGTAGTGCCAAGAATTCTTTCCTGTCTAAAAAACCATCCCCAGAAGCATCACCAGCCTCGAAGAGTCTGTTCATTTTCCTCTTATGAGCTTTCTGCTGCCACTCTTTCTCGTGCATCATGATGAAGTCGTCGTTGGCTGCGACTCTGAAAGTCTCTTGGATGAACACTCCATTGATGATCCCGATCCGCCGGGGGGAATATGTAAGAACGTCATCTCACGTGAGAGTCTATCTCATCAGCCAGGATGACGTTCTTACACATCCCGATCCGCCTGTCTAATGAGGCGTGGTAGACTGTCAAATTCTGTCTGGTAGCGCTCCTTGGGGCTCCCAAAACGGCGTGGTGACGGACCGTGCGGCGAGCTCGGATTCCCCAAGTCACCGCACGGTCTGTCGTCGCAAGGTCCCGGGACCTTGGAGGCCCCAATCACCTGAGATACCCTCGGAGAACGACCCACGTCCTGAAACCGTGCGGTCACCCCGAACCCCCACTGACTCAACACGTGGTGTGGTCACCGCACCGGGGGGCCCCGCATTTCCTGCAATCTTCTCCAGAAAGGATGCCCCCCTGCGGGTAGCGCCCACACGCATACCCCCCCCGGCCCGCCGGCCCGCCCGAGGCTCGCTGGCAGGCCGGAGGCTTCCCTGGCGCGCTCCGAGGCGCCCAAGAGTCCGAGAGGATTCCCAGACCGCCGAGGCAGGCCAGCCAGGCCGCCAAGATGCCTCAGTACGCCTCCAAGACGATCCGAGGTCGCCCCAAGACGGTCCGAGGTGGCCTCGAGACGACCCCCCAGGACGGCTCCAAGAGGATCCCCAAGGCTCGAATGTGTCAGAATATATGATGTCTCAAAGACTTTGGCACATCGGCGGGCTCTCATCGTTTCGGGCTTCCGTCAGCCCAACAAGGTCCACGGCCTACAATATGTCCCCCAACACGGCCCAAGAAGCACCCAAGAGCGCCGCAAGGCAGCCCACGAGGCTCTCAAGATGGCCGAAGGGGCCTCCAAGACGGGCCGAAGATGGCCCAAGGAGGCCCCGAGACGGCTCAAGAGACTCCGAAACCGACCCTTCAGGGCCCCAAGAGGGCCTTGTGACGGCCCAGGAAGGCCCCCAAGGCAGACTCCGAAGGCGCCATACTGCCAAAAAGCGCCCAAGAGGCACAATGAGCCCCCAAGAGGCCACCAAGACGCCCCCAAGAGGCGTCCAAAGGGCCCCCACGCGGATCCCAAGGGAGAAGGAGGACGAGGAGGAGGAGGAGGAGGAGGAGGAGGAGGAGGAGAAGGAGGGATGAAGAGGGCGGGAGGAATACAATGACGAACACGATCAAAGACACCCAGACACGACGCGGAAGAGCGCGTCACATATTACGTCTCTCTCTCTATCTCTCAATATTCGTGGAACGCGGTGCTACGCGTTACGGCTTCCGCGTGCTCCTCGCAGAGTCGCCACCCAGAATGCTGGGCTAACACGGTGGCGGGAAATGCCGCAGGCAGCTGGATAACAGCAAATCCCACAGTAAGTTTGTGGAGGATGCAAAATATCATGAACCATTCACTCACGTTCTCCATCAGTAACCGACAGACTGGGGGCCAGTTTGCCAGTGTCATTTCGAATGTACTGAGCACGGACCGCGAGAAGGTGCCAAAATACTCAAACACCTCCCGTCTCGCTTCCTCCTTGTAGCTGTCGTCTCCGAAATACAACATGTGCAGGAGCTGATTGAGGAGAAGCGCGTTCAGCACCTGGAGCATGAACAGCAGCGCGCAGGCCCAGAATAAGACCGTGGCGCTGCTCTGAATGGCGGTCGTCATGAGGAACAACGCATCGAAGCTGCGAATCTGACGAACCACTCGCACCTCCGGGATTAAGCCGGGCCTGTCCCCCTACAGGCCGATTTTGGACGAAAAATGAAACACTGTCAAACAAAACCCAAAAATGCTCATAATGGTCAAAAAAAACGTCCCCTGACTATTTTTGTCGCTATTTTTGAATTTTCCTCCTGTAGACGGACAGGCCCGATTAAAACTCTGGGAGGCGCTCCTCACTGCCCCCCCCCTCGACGGGGGGGCGGGACGGGAGGCGAGCGATGGTTTCCGTGTTTGTCTTGAAGAGTCGACGTGAACATCAATTTTGGGGTAAATCAATTCTGTAGTCGACCCCCCAGTCGAACCTCTGGGAGGCGCTGCTCACTGGCCCACCCTCTCGACGGGGGGCGCGGGACGGGAGGCTCCCACGAAGCCAAACGCCAACTTCCCCCTCCCCAGAGTCCTAAGACGAAGCCAGGATTAAGTCGGGTCTGTCCCCCTACAGGCCGATTCCCGAGGAAGAATTAAAAATAGTCAAAAAAGAAACAAAAAATACCCAAAAACATACTACAAAAATAATCCCGAGACTATTGTTTCGGACTATTTTTGAATATTCCTGTAGAGGGACAGTCCCGACTTAAAGCCAGAACGAGGATACCATCGGGTTTGGATGAATCGAGAATCTCTGAGATCCGGCGGCTCTGGGGGATGCCTCGGGCGCCGCGGCCTTCTCAGAGCGTTCCGGGACGCTCTGGGACGGATTTGTCCTCGTCCTAGCCCCGTCCGAGAGTTCAGCGGGAATCTCAAAATTCGTGTGAACCCCTCCCTCGGGAGTGCGCTCACCAGACCTCTCGCCCCGGATCCCGTGACTCCCCGTAATGTCAGATCGGTCCATGGGATTCCAGAACGTCGAGACAGCCCTCCAAATGGCGAAACTGGCAGAATCTTCCCCGACCGTAGCACATCCGCCGACCTCCGCTTACCAGGTTGAAACGGCGTGTGAGATATTTGACTGACCCCCATTTCCCTTTCCCCTTCCCCTGGTGTCTGAAATCCCGTTGAAGGGGTTCACGAGCTCCTGCTCCTCCCTCCTCCTCTTCCTCCTCCTCCTCCTCCTCCTCCTCCTCCTCCTTCGCTGGGCGGGGGTTGGGGGGGATACACGAGCTCCCTGGCCCACCTCCCTGGCCCTCGGAGCCTCCAAATCCGCCCACCGCGGCCTCCCAGACGCCCAAGACGCCCTCTAAGATGGCTCGAGAATGGCTCTGACGCGCTGAAGATGCCTCTACGCAGACATCCAAGAGGGCCTCAGGAAGACACAATGGGCCTGGAAGACGACCAAAGAGGTCCCAAGAGGACCAACAAGGACGATCCCAAGAGGCCAAAAGAGCACATTCACATTGTTCCCAACCATCCTGTGGTGTATTGGGTCCTCGCTTTGAAAAGACAGTGTCCCGCGTCCTCCTCCTCCTCCCCTCCTCTTCCTCCTCCCCTTCCTCGTCCTTCCCCTATCTCTGCCTCTGCCCTCCGCATGTCAACCATATCGGTCCAGCCCTCACATGTTCATACCCCATAAGGGGGCTTCACCGAAGGCCCCAATGGCAGGCTCCACGTGTGCCCGAACGACCTGGCACACCCCTCACACGTTTCGTCGCCCCGTAGGGAGCTCAACCGAAGGCCCCTGCGGCAGGATCCACATGCGTCCGCCCGACCCACGTCGACACACCCCTCACACGCTTCGTGGCCCCATAGAGACTTCCACCGAAGGCATCAGTGAGACGGTCTATGTGCGCCCTCCCGACCCATTCCGACACAGCCCTCACATGTTTCGCAACCCCATGGGGAGCTCCATCGAAGGCCCCAGTGGCAGAGTCCACATGCGTCCGCCTGACCCACGTCGACACATCCCTCACACGTGTCGTGGCCCCATAGGGAGCTCCGTCCGCCCTGCCCATGTCAACGTCGCCCACAACAAGGAGCTCAACCGAGTGCCCCAGTGGCAGAATCTACATGCGTCCGCCCGACCAACGTCGGCACACCCCTCACACTTATCGCGGCCCCAAGGGAGTTCCACCGAAGGACCCAGTGGGAGTGCCTACATGCGTCCGCCCGACCCATTCCAGCACACCCCTCACACGCTCGGTGTGTTCATATAGGGAGCTCCACCGAAGGCCCAAGTGGCAGGGTCCTGCCGACCCATTTCGGCACGCCCTGCAGCACTCGTTCAGTGGCCCCTCTAAGGAGCTCAATCGAAGGCCCCAGTGGCAGGGTCCACATGCGCCCGAACTACCCATTGCGGCACACCCCTCACACGCGTCGTACCCCATAAGGAGCTCAACCGAATGCCCCAGAAGGGTCCACATGCGTTCGAACTACCCTTTGCGGCACACCCCTCACACGCGTCGTGCCCCATAAGGAGCTCAACCGAATGCCCCAGTGGCAGTCCATATGCGTCCGCCCGACCCACGTCAACACACCCCTCACATGCTTCGTGGCCCCAAGGGGGCTCCACCGAAGGCGCCAGTGGGATGGTTGGCATGCGTCCGCCCGACCCATTCTGGCACACCCCGCAGCACACGCTTCGTGGCCCCATTAGGGAGCTCCACCGAAGGCCCCAACAGCAAGATCCACATGCGTGAGAACGACCCATGCCGGCACTCCCCTCACACGCGTCGTGGCCCAGCAGGGAGCTTCACCGAAGGCCCCAATGGCAGGCTCCACATGCGCCCGCTCGATCCACGTCGGCACACCCCTCACACGTTTCGTGGCCCCAAGGGAGCTCCACCGAAGGCGCCAGTGGGAGGATCTACATGCGTCCGCCCGACCCATTTCGGCACACCCCGCAGCACACGCTTCGTGGCCCCAGTAGCGAGCTCCACCGAAGGCCCCAATGGCAGGGTCCTCATGCGTGAGAACCACCCATGCTGGCACACCCCTCACACGCGTCCCCAATGGGAGGTTCACATGCGTCCGCTCGACCCATTTAGGCACACCCCTCACACGTGCCGTCGCCCCACAGGTACCTCAACCGAATGCCCCAAGGTGAGGCTCTACATGCGTTCGCCCGACCCACGCTGCACGCTCTTGGTGCGTTCCCATAGGGAGCTCCACCGAATGCCCCAGTGGCAGGCTCCACATGCGCCCGAACGACCCAGTTCGGCACACCCCTCACACGTTTCGTCGCCCCGTGGGGAGCTCCGCCGAAGGCGCCAGTGGGAGGATCTACATGCGTCCGCCCGACCCATTTCGGCACACCCCTCACACGCTTCGTGGCCCGATAGAGAGTTCCACCGAAGGCCTCAGTGAGACGGTCTATGTGCGTCCGCCCCTCTTATTTCGGCACACCACTCATACGCTTCGTGGTCCAATAGGGATCTCCACCGAAGGCCCCAGTATTCATGCGTCAGCCCGACCCACGCCAACACACCTCTCACACGTTTCGTCCGCCCACAGGAAGCTCCACCGAAGGCCCCAATGAGAGGATCAACATGTTCCCGCCCGACCATCTCGGTACACCCCTCAAAAGCTTCGTGGCCCCATAAGAAATTCCACCGAAGGCCCCAGTGGGAGGGTCCACATGCGTCCGCCCGACAGGGAGCGTCCACCCGTTTCAGCGTCGTCCCACAGGGAGCTTCACCGAAGGCCGCAGTGGAGGGTCCGCATGCGTCCGCCCGACCCATGTGGCCAATATAAAGCTCCACAACTGCGTCACTCACAGATGGCATATGATTGGCCCCTTCGCCAGGATATTTGCCCCTATAGTATAAGACGAGCTTCGTGTTACTCCCCATGTCCTAAGGATGGGGTTCTTGTTATTACTCCGACCGCGCCGAGCACGGGACCCCCAGATATCCTTCTCCTCTTGATGATGATGATGATGATGCTGCTGCTGCTGATGATTGTGATGAAGGTGATAGTGATGATGATGAGGAGCAGGGTGACGCCGATGCCGATAATGATGATGATGATGATGATGATGATGATGATGATGATGATGATGATGATGATGATGATGATGATGGTGATGGTGATGGTGATGGTGATGGTGATGGTGATGGTGATGGTGATGGTGATGGTGATGGTTATACTGATGATGATGATGATTATGATGATGATGATAATTATGACGATGCCGATGGCGACGACGACGATGGCGATGATGCTGATGATGATGATGGTGATGCTCATCATTATGATCAGAATGATCATGATGATCATGATGATGCTGGTGATGAGGCTGATGATGATTCTGATGGTGGTGATGGTGACTCACACGCGCGACGATAATGACGAGCATGATGATGACTATGATGGTGATGATGTTGGTGTTGATTGTGATGATGATGATGAGCAAGATGATGATGATGATGATGATGATGATGATGATGATGATGATACTGATGGTGATGACAAAGTTGGTGGTGGTGATTATGATGCTGGCAATCATGATGATGAGGAGGATGCTAAGGATGGTGAGCATGATGATGCTGATGGTGATGATGCTGAGCATGATGATGCTGTTGGTGATGATGACGATGTGGATGATGATGCTGATGATGATGATGATGATGATGACGAGGTTGATGACGATGATGATGATGATGCTGATGGTAATGATGATGCTGATGTATATAATGATGCTGTTGATGGTGATGATTATAATCAAGACGCGATGACGGCGACGACAACGAAGATAGTGATGACGATGACGATGACGATGGCGATGATGCTGCTGCTGCTGATGATGATGATGATGATGCTGTCGATGATGATGATGATGATGAAGAAGAGGATGAGGGTGACGATGATGATGATGATGATGACGCGGATGCTGATGATGATGAAGATGATGGTGATGATGCTGCTGCTGATGATGATGATGATGCTGTCGATGATGATGATGATGATGAGGATGAGGGTGACGATGATGATGATGATGATGATGATGATGATGACGCGGATGCTGATGATGATGAAGATGATGGTGATGATGCTGCTGCTGCTGATGATGATGACGACGATGATGATGATGATGATGATGATGATGATGATGA